ACTGACAGGCCAAAGGGAGCTGTTACAGTTTTTCAAAAAAATCACTTCTCCACTTTGATTGTGTTAATCATCTTTAGAGACCCTTGCTCGGCTGTATTATGCGTAAGGAAATCTGACTTCCTTCCGCTTTCATTGGAAAATGTTTTTTAACCACATGTTTCACTGGTGGGGGAATTGTTTAGGCATCAGACCAGACAGCTGCAATTCTTCGGTGCTTTTGCAGCTGCTACAGCTGCTGCTATTCATTGTTCCCTTTTAAAGTAAGAAGTAGTATTGAGAATATATCAGTACAGATAGAAATGAATTTTTTAAATCAATGAATCAGTTTTATTTAGTAAATTAAACCAAAGAATTTAATTTGATTTTCAGAGAATAATATTTTAAAAGTAATATTTCAAAATGTAGGCAAGTAACCAATTTTTTGTTTCGACCAGTGTAAATGAAATGGCATAAATAACAACAGTAAATTATTACTAATTACCACAATATGTTGGTGCTTGCATTCCTTGTCATAGACTAAGTCATACAACTGGCATATGAGGAGAAACAAAAGCGGCGACTCCTGAACTGGCTGCAATTCACCAGTGTGATTTATGCCATTGCAGTTAATTCGGGTACCAATAGTCAGTATGATTTTGCCCAAAATTTAAAACTTCAATCTTGTATTGTGGTCAAGAGTGCTTGATTTTTATTTTATTTCAGGAGATAATTAAATTACTCCACTATTAAGTAAAGAAATAAATGAGCTGCTGGATAGCTTCAGTGGCTGAGGTCTCTGGCTGTGGAGCCTCTATATATGTGTGTGTGTGTGTTTTATATATAATTTTCAAGGGATATATCATCACATTTATGTAAGCAAGTTCCTAACTGGTTGACTTGACCATGATAGAGTGCCTTCTACTACACATCAAACATCCCAGTCAGAACTCGTATATTATTTCACATCACTCCAAGGCAATTTGACCAGTTCAGCCTTCTACTACACGTCAAACATCCCAGTCAGAACTTGTATATTATTTCACTCCAAGGCAATTTGACCAGTTCAGCCACATGTCAATAAGACAGATACATATCAAGTTACAGCCAGTGTGTCATAAAAATATTGTGCCTGAGTAATGTTCACTTTTTTTTTTGGATGGGGATTGGGAGATGTAGATTTGTTAGTGAGATAAGGTGGGTTCATCCCTGTCTGGTCTGAAAGAGCTTGGCCTTAGTGTCCATTTTCTAGAAACCTCCAAGATGGCCTTCTGTAATGTGAGGGACTATCACTGAAAATAGAGCTGTTTCTGAAGCGTTACTTGAGAATATAGCTGCTACATGGTTAATGGAATATGACTATACTATGTACCAGTACAACTGCACTCACTCTGTTTTTGGAGACAGTTCAAAGTGCTGGCCTTGATCTTTGAAAGACTTCATGGTTTGGGATATTGGATTGTGAAGGATGACCTCTTTTCACATAAGACCTCTTTTCACAGAAGACATTCTATACCTTGAGGTCTGCTTTGGAGCTCACTCAGGGTTCCCTTTCTATCGGAAATGTGGTGTGTGGCTCCTGGAATGATAGAATTGTAGAAGGGACCCCAAGGGGTACTGAGTCAAGTCCCCCCCATGGAAATCTGTATTTAAAGCATCCCTGATAGCTGGCCCATAAGTTGAAGATGTTCAACTTATGTTTGAACATCTTCAAGTGCAACTTTCTGGTGGTGGCACCTCAGCTCTGTTTATTCATCTTTAAACAGTGTATTTCAGAGAACACTGTACAAACATAAAACAATGCAGCAATAAGATGTGATAAATAAAGCACCAGTCCTTTACTATGAGGAGGATATAAACAATTCATCAATCAGCTAAAACCCAGCCCCAGTGTTAAAACCATTTCTTGGTGAAGTTTAGATTAGCAGTGGCTTTCCCTTTCTGTGAGCATGGTTATCCTTTGAGCTAATTCACCATCACAGATGAATAAAAATGAATGGGTTCTTCACTGCTCTGGGGAGGCTTCCTCTTGACACAGATGATATTCCTGTTCTCTGGATGAAATGGAAAAGGCTGGTGACACAATAATTCCCAAATTTCCCCCTCCTTTGTTGCAGAGACCAGATTACTCCTTTCTTTGAAATCTTAATCTTGGAAGTGGAATTGTTAAAAAATCTCTACAATTGAGAGTAAAGCTTCATCCATTCTTTATTCTTTCTTAATTATAAGTGGGCAGGGGCTAATCTTACTTTAAGTAAGGCCCAGACCTATACAAAAGTAAGTTGGGGAGCTTTGACCTTTTCAGTCCTCCCATGATTTAAACCAGTGGTTCTTAACCTTTGTTACTCGGATGTTTTTGAACTGCAACTCCCAGAAACCCCAGCCAGCACAGTTGGTGGTGAAGGCTTCTGGGAGTTGCAGTCCAAAACTCCTGAGTAACACAAGGTTAAGAACCAGTGATTTAAACCTAGATTTGGGACCTTGCAGCCTTATTTATTTTATTTATTATTTTATTTATTGCATTTATATGCCGCCCATCTAGACATAGTCTACTACTATTTGTTTCAATTGATGATTTATTCCTATGAAGATCACATACAGAGCAGGGATCAACCGAATCAGGGCCGCAGCAATAGACAAAAGTAACAGTTTGTGCTGAGATTTGGGGGAGGGGATATCTGGCTTAAACATTTATATTGGCTTTCTGTGTGCTATAAAAACTACTGCCTCCTTGATAACTTTTGCAACTGTTGTGGCTGAATGACACGCAACATATGACTACATGTTTCACAGTGGTGTGCAAGAGTTCTTGTCATATGCTTTTGTATGTGTGGCTCATAAGAATAACAAGATATATCAGATATTGACTGTTCTAGTCAGTCACTTCCCATTCATTTCTTATTCAAACCCATTATCGTTTGAGAGCATCACAATGAACAATTCCTATTTCAGATGGCACAGTTCCAAAGATTTCCCCCTTTTTTTTCAAATTTGGTCTGTCAATCTTACAAGGGGTAGAGTAGAGCAACGTAGTTTAGTATTTTTTACAATCCAGCACAACACAGGGATTAAGGAAATGTCAGGTAATATTGCTATTCTCATGCTTTTGTTCTTTGTAAACTCACCAAGAGTCATTGATGGGAAAATAATTATTTTTGGTAAAAGTCATGTCAAAGCAACCTTTCTATGGTTTTTAAACAGACAAAGCAGTTATTATTTTGCAAAGTGAATTCTATAGAGGCAATGTAGTTCATAGCTGATGCTCAGAAGACAAGGGTTGATACAGTTTACGTTTACCCAGACATTTGGCAAATAAGTGTGAAACCGAATGGCATAGTGTTTTAGTCTCTGTGAAACAAAAGCTTTTCTGCTGTTACAACAAAGTGAGTATGAATAAGCATTAGCGGTTGACTTGAACTTTGCTTCCATTCTTGAACTTTTCTGTGCTATTATGGTTTGGACTGAGGTTCTATATAGGTTCCTGTCACCATAACTGCAGCCCCATAGTTTAATTGTGGGGAAATGCAGAAGGTTCAAAGAGTTTTGGTTCCCAAGCTTACTAATGAGGAGAAGGCTCCCTTCACCCTTAATGAACTAGGATTTCTATGTGAATTTTGGGGGAGGGGGAGAGAAAGAGGTGGGAGGCAAAGAGTTCACACAACAGGACAATGACTTTACAGTGTAAAGACCATGCAGCTGGGCCATCTGAAGCCCGTCCTCAGTTATGAGCAACAAAGCTTAAATAGATTGTACTGTGAAGAGGTAACTTTCTGGGAGTGTGAAGCATAGTTTTAACTTCTGCTTCACTGATCTGTCTGCTTATAACCGGGATAGGGCCTTGACAAGAGCTTAGGGAAGGAGCACCACGTAGGGCAGTTCTTTCAAAATCATTTCATGCAACATGATTAGCGAAAGAGGAAACAAAATGAAGTTTCAGTCATTTTTAAGGGCTGATCTCTTGTGAGGTGAGGGGGGAGAGTTGGGATTAACTGCTGCGATTTTTTTTTTATTCCACGCTGAGAAAAGTCATTGTTGAGTTATGCTGCATTTCAGCTAGCCTACAAGGGTGTTAAATTGAATATTTGCACAGTAAAACAGCCTTTGACCTTCTTGGCTGAAAACAACAGAAGTTCTTGGCACATTCACAATAGCATTGAAATAAAAACAAAAAAGGAGGGCAAGGTATTTTAGTTGAATTCATGCTCAGTTCAGCAAATACCATGTCTCTCCCACCAGCTTTTGACAAGAAGCACCCTTTCCTTTTCTAAATATTTTTCTTTCTAACCTGCTCGTTTGAGGATGCAGATGACTGTAAAAGTGAGTGTGTATCTTTGCACCTCCATGTGTTTGCCCTCATATCATTTCAGACTGTTACTTGTTTTTACAAGGTGTATACTTTCCTGTATGCATTGCTCATTTTGTCACAAGTCACTATAAATATAGTTCAGCACACATACACACACTTTTGGGGTACCGACTGCAAATATAAATGGAACTTGGAGCCCTCCCCACCCCAAATGCTGTAGTGTTAATGCTAAAAAATGGCAAGTTACTTTGATATTCTTTGTGATATATCTGATGCTTTCTGTTTCTACTGCTGTTAAAAGTTAAAATGCATTCAGACAGTGTTTTTTTGGACTACTGCAATGTGATGTATATGTATAGACTGATTTAAGACTGTACATTGTGTCTAAATAATGTGAAAGCGCTCCAAACATCTGCTCCTGTATTTGGTCCCTAGCAGCTTTTTCTCCCCATGTTGTCTCTCCGTTGTTGAGAGAGAAGAAAGTGGAGACATAATTAATTTTGTTCTTAAATTGAGGATTAGATTAGAGAAGCATAAAAGGAAATAGAGTTTTAAATACCTTGATTACTGGTGCATAGGCGGATTCCAAACTTTGTGTAGCCTTCCAATCTGAGGTGGCTGGATAATAGCGAGAAAAGTGGTGAAAGTAGACAACCCCCCCACGGTTGACCCCTCTGTTCTGCCTCGCCTAATCGACTCTTTATGTTGTGCTTTTCAGATAGCTGATCGGCTTCCCTGGATTTCACTGATGACACAGGAAAGCTTTGCCTGAAGATGGAAACACTGGAGTCGGAACTGACCTGCCCTATCTGTCTGGAGCTGTTTGAGGACCCGCTGCTGCTGCCTTGTGCTCACAGTCTCTGTTTCAACTGTGCGCATCGCATCTTGGTCTCCCACTGTGCCACCAACGAATCAGTGGAATCTATCACCGCCTTCCAGTGCCCTACTTGTCGTTATGTCATCACCCTCAGTCAACGTGGTCTAGACGGACTCAAGCGCAACGTCACGCTGCAGAATATTATCGACAGGTTTCAGAAAGCTTCAGTGAGCGGGCCCAATTCTCCCAGCGAAACTCGCCGAGAGCGAGCTTTTGATAGCAACAGCATGTCCTCCAGTGAAAAAGTTCTCTGCCAGTTCTGTGACCAAGATCCTGCTCAGGAAGCAGTGAAGACCTGTGTAACTTGTGAGGTATCCTACTGTGAGGAGTGCTTAAAAGCGACTCACCCAAACAAGAAGCCATTCACTGGCCACCGTTTGATTGAGCCTATTCCTGACTCTCATATCAGAGGATTAATGTGTCTGGAGCATGAGGATGAGAAAGTTAACATGTATTGTGTGACTGATGACCAGCTAATCTGTGCCTTGTGTAAACTGGTTGGGAGGCATCGCGATCACCAGGTGGCGGCTCTAAGTGAACGCTATGACAAACTGAAGGTTAGTTTGCTCTTAATGCTTTACAGTATTTGTATACACTAACAAGTGTGCCATCACCTCACCTTATTTGTTGTATGACTTATTTGTATACACTAACAAGTGTGGCTTCACAAAGTGGTATCACCTCACCTTATTTGTTGTATGACTTATTATGTGTGTTATATGGAATTTCTGTACTGAGCTGACACACTCACACCTGCTGACACTGGGCACTGTGTAAAGCACAAATTATGAATTAGAAGTAGGTTTTTCAATGTTAAACTCTCCCGAATTTCATAGGAAGTAATTCAGATACAAAAAGGTACGTTTGTGTATATATTTCCATTTCTTTCAGTTGCAGTGCAGTCCAATATGAAAATCTAATGTGAATATCCATGAATATGCACAGGTATGTTGGGAAGCAATCTGGTGATTCCCCCAAAGTGACACTGTGTATGGGGGGTACTTTTTGGTCCTTGTATAGAGTGGACACTGTGTATGGGGGGGGGTACTTTTTGGTCCTTGTATAGAGTGATGGTCCATTATTTGTATGAGCTGATTATGTTTTGTGGAATTCTGCGTTCATTTCAAAGCCTCCAGATTCTAGCCAGAGGTGTCAAGGGTCTTAGGCCACCTAACAGACCTTTGACAAGACAGCTGTGTGCAAGTTTATTTGAAAATGAGTTTCAGTGTATTCAGTGAGGATTACTCCTTGTAAGCATATTTCAATTGCAGCCTCATTTAAATATCATATTTAATCCCGTTGTTTTCCTTCCAAGAGTTTTCTACGCATTTTTTGTTTCTTCTCTTCAAGGAATGCTCCTATTTAATTCATAAGACAACTGGGTTGCACATATATGTGTCTTTCTCACATATATGCATTGCATACTATAAACATTAAGAAAAATATGTATCCTCCAGTGACATCACCATATTCTGAAAATCTACATTCCCTACTAAATATTGCATCTTACATTGGAGGAGCAGTCAGCTCAGTATTCTTCAGGTTCCATTGCAAAATGTTCTTATTCTGTTTAACACAGATTGGATGTAAAGAATCTTCAGATAGAAGCGGCAGACAGCAACATTACACTTCTGGGAGACCATGTTGTTTGTAGCTGCCACTGGGCACAGAGCAGCAGAGTAGGGGAGGAGATGTAGGAACGCAGAAGCCCCCTCCCCCAGTTCCTTCAGGGAAATGCTGCTGTGCTTGTTTATAGAACATTACAACAGGCAGAGTATTCAATGAAAGAAACAGCCCTCCTCCCCCATGGTAAATGTACTCCCTTTCGGCTACTGCATTTAGATTTTTTTTAAAAAAATGCTTTACCGGAAGACAATCTGATACATTTAAAAATACTACTTCATCGAATCATCATTTTTATTTTATTTTCTTCCGTATATAACAATTTTACTAACAAGGGCAATGTGGAAAGCAAGAATACTATTCTATCTCTGACTATATTAGCACAAAGAATGGGGACCCTCCATTGCATTGTGCCATATTAAAATGTGATTTTGTCAAACTTTTAAGTGAGGGAAAAATGCTCTTTTACTGTATGTGTCTTAAGCATGCATAGTCTTTGCATAGGGTCTGAACTGCAAAGTTATTGCCTGGGCCTCTTTTATAAGTTTTCCATAATTAAAAGACAAGAGAACGGTGATAGCATCAGGCATAATTTAGGTTGCAATCTTAAAGCCACTGCTATGCATTTAAGATATTAGCAGTAGTATTCTGGCAAACATTTAGACAGAATGGCAACTGTATAGCTTATAATGCTTGCTGCTTTGATCTTTTATTGTTGCCTGTGTTTGGCTTTTGGTTCATTTGACTTTTGTGAGGCTGCTTAATTGTTTATTATTGCATTGCTTTTTGTTTTTGAGTTTCATTTAAAAAAATTATATATGCCGTTATTGCTAGTTCCCCTGGGTATTCTATATGTATGCAAAGTCAGACTAAATAAATGTATATTTAATAAATAAATGAATGAATATTTAAAGGGGTATTACTTGTATACAACCACAAGTTTGTGTTTCACTTCAAAGCTAAGCAACTTATCCCATATAATTACTCATTGATTACTGCATTTCTGTGGTTATGTATCCACATGGGCTTCCTTGTGTTTCCAGTTCAAATATATATTCCAGACCTATTGAATGAGAGAGATTAAACACACAATTACATATTTATTTGTATGTTTAGCTCATAAATTAGGAGTAACTTCCGTAAGTGTTGTTTCTTCAATAACCTGTACTCTTCACACACGCACACACGCACACACACACACACACACACACAAGGTTTGCAATGGAACGCCCAACCAACACTTGAGCAAAATCCTGTTGTGTAAAGTTACACCACAGTAAACTAGACCTGGTACCATAAATAATTAATTTAATTTTT